ATAATACATATTAGAGTACAGGCAAATAATTGTAAAAGTTTTTATTTTTGCTATTTAGACTTTTTAGCAAATATAAGATGGTATCTATTCACTTGAGATGCATGTTAATTTCAGAGATGGTAATGAGAGAGATGCCTAATGGTCATTGTAAGAAATTATTCATTGAAAATTGAAAGATGTGTCCTCAGCTAATGCCCTTTTCGGCCTTAGCCCACCTGCACCCAGGTGAATAAACAGCCATGTTGCTCACACAAAGCCTGTTTGGAAGATCTCTTCATTCAAAGCGCACACTTTTCAACATTTGGTGCCGGACACCTGGGACCGGGGAACTCCTATGGGAAATCAAACCCCTGTCCCTGTTGTGCTCCCTCCATGAAGAGATCCATCTACTGACCTGGGGTCATCAGACCAGCCCACAGACGCACACCACCGGCTACTTTGGTAAGCAGTCTCTCTTTTTTGCTTTCCCATTGTTTCATCTTTTCCTTTCCATTTCCTCCCCCTTTCAGTTTCATTTTTTTTTCTACCCAAAGACAAGGAAAATCAGGTAAACCAGGCTCTTCCGTGAAGTTCATGACTGGAAAATCCTATGTAGGTCACAGATCCGGGGACCCAGTTTCCCCAGCGGTTTGACTATTGTGGAGATGTTCAACCTAGTCACTTGCCCACCAGGCTCATGGCCGATATTGGTGGCAAGTCAACGTAGAAGACGTGCTCTTTGACCACCCACCAACAACGAGGCTCAACCCAGGCTCCACTAGGGACGCCTTTTGAGCATTTGGGCTGCGTGCCTATTCTCCTTGTCTCTGCTGCCTTTCCAGAACCATGGGTAACCGTCTGTCCTCTATCCCTCCCTCCTCTCTGCTGTCCTGTGTTCTAAAAATCCTCAAGCCTCTTCAACTGTCTCCTAACCTAAAACGCAAACGTCTCATCTTCTGTAACATTGCGTGGCCACATACAAATTAAACAATGGCTCCAATTGGCCAAAAAAATGGCACTTTCACCCTCTCTACTTTAAAAAATTTAGACAATTTTTGTCTCAACACAGGCAAATGGTCTGAAACTTCCTACGTCCAGGCATTTTTTTTTTTTTGCACACCAGTCCCTCCCTAACCAATCCTTCCAACCTTTCTCCTCTCCACCTGTCCAAACCAGGCCCTAATCCGGAACCTAACCCCACCCCCCAGAGCCTTCCTCCACTTCCTCTGCCCACAACCCACCTCCTTATGCCCCTCCTGTGACCTCCCCACCTCATATGGGGTTACAGCTTACAGTTTAGCCCCTCGGCTACCTCCTCTGCCCCTTCGCAACAATTCCCCCTTCCAGAGGTGGCTGGAGCCGGTTAAGGTGCACATTCCTTTTCCTTTATCCAATTTTTCTAAATTGGCCACTGATTAAGCTCCTTTTCATCAAATCCTCCAACACTTAACCCAGTCCTATCATCTCACCTGGAGTAACTTAAATGTCATCTTCTACTCTCACCCCTAAAAACGCTTAATATGCATTTTATCACCAGATCAACCCCAACATTACAAAAAGGTATAGAAATTAAAATCTGGCCCTCAAACCCCACAACAGGAATTAAGCAGCTTCACCTTCAAGGTGTTCAATAATAGGGAAAAATCTGCCGGGCGGCAGCGCACCTCAGAACTACAGATGCTTACCTCTTCCGTAAGACAAACCGCAGCCACACCACCGGCTCACAGAGACTTCGGAGCACCCAGACTGCAGCGCGTCCGGCCGCCCCTCCTGGACCTTGCTTCAAGTGTCAGAAACATGGCCACTGGGCCAGGAAATGCCTACAGCCCAGGATTTCTCCTAAGCCCTGCCCCATCTGTGCAAGGCCCCCACAGAAAGTCAACTGTGTGACTCAGGTCGCTGCTCCCAGAGCTCCTGAAGCTCCAATCCTCAGCTTGGCAGCTAAAAACTAAGGCTGCCCTAGTATCTCCGAAGCCCCCTAGACCATCACTGATGCCAAACTTCGGGTAACTCTTACGGTGGAGTGTAAGTCCATCCCCTTCTTTTTTTTTTTTTTTTTTTTTTTTGAGACAGAGTTTCGCTCTTGTTACCCAGGCTGGAGTGCAATGGCGCTATCTTGGCTCACCGCAACCTCCGCCTCCTGGGTTCAGGCAATTCTCCTGCCTCCTGAGTAGCTGGGATTACAGGCACACGCCACCATGCCCAGCTAATTTTTTATATTTTTAGTAGAGACGGGGTTTCACCATGTTGACCAGGATGGTCTCGATCTCTTGACCTCGTGATCCACCCGCCTCGGCCTCCCAAAGGGCTGGGATTACAGGCGTGAGCCACCGCGCCTGGCCCCATCCCCTTCTTAATCAACGTGGGGGCCTCCCACTCCACGCCGCCTTCTTTTCGAGCACCTGTCTCCTTGGCCTCCATAACTATTGTAGGAATTGAGGGCAAGCCCTCCAGGCCTCTCTAAACTCCCCAAGTCTGGTGTCAATTAGGCCAGCACTCCTTTCCCCATTCTTTCCTAATCATCCCCACTTGTCCAGTTCCCCTGTTAGGCCAAGATATCCTAGCAAAATTGTGTACTCCCTTAACTATTCCTGGGCTACAGCCACACCTCACTGCCACCCTCTTCCCCAAACCGGTACCTCCCTCAATAGCTCCCCTTGTGTTCCCCAACCTTAACCCTTAAGGGTGTAAAACACCGCCTTCCCATCCGTTGCTACAAGTCACTCACCCTCATCAATCCCTTAAAACCTTACCACACTTATCCTGCCCAGCCCCAGTACCCCATTCCACAACAGGCTTTAAAAGTAAAGCCTGTTATCACCCTCTATTGCAACATGGCCTTTTAATTCACCCTCCTGCTTCTTCAGCATCTATACTCAAAGGGGTATCCTGTATCCCCTTCCAAAGCCCAAATTTCTTACCCATCTGTTTTAATCTTTCACCAGCATACATGAGCTCTCCCTGCGAACTGTATCCAGTTAATTTCCCAAACCCCAACCCCATCCACTAAACAACAGCTTCTCTCCTTCCTGGGTGTGGTTGCTACTTTCACCTCAGGATACCAGGTTTTGCTATTCTAACTAAGCCATTGTATACACTCACTAAAGAAAACTTATCCAACTCTAATCCTAAATCATTCCCTCACTTCTCCTTTCGCTCCTTAAAAAACATCTCTAAAAACTGCTCCCTCCCTAGCTCTCCCCAACCTGTCTCAACACTTTTTCATTATATACTGCTAAAATCCGGGGCTTGTGTGCTGGGAATTCTCACAAGGGAGCCAGGCCCATGGCCTGTAGCCTTTTTATCCAAACAACTTAACCTAACAGTCCTGGGCTGGCCCTCATGACAACGCGCAGCAGCAGCTGCCGCCCTAATACTCTTAAAATCCCTCAAAGTCACAGGCTATGCCCTATTTACCCTCTAGCTCTCACCACCTCCAAAGTTTTCTCTTTACACCTCACACACTTACTGTCAGCTCCCCGCCTTCTCCAGCTTTATGCAGTCGCTGCTACTTAAACCACACCTCAGAAAGTCTGTTTCTGTTACTTTCTGTCTGACTGTGCTCAGATTCACTGTCCTCATTGACTTTCACACGCCCTGCTTTTGTTTAGGTTGCCAGTTTACACATTTTCTCCAGCCAATTACAGCTAATATTTCACTCTTAATCTGGCTCCTGTTCTCTGCTCAAACCCAATCTTGTTAATAAAAGTGAGCGGTTGCTTATGATGCCACACGCTTCCTCATACACCATAAAACAAAAGCTGTCCCTCCACTCAGTTAACCTTCTCTAATACTATCTTTCTCCTTCTCTTATTTTAACCCTGTGTTTTTCCAATTAATCTCCCAATTCCTACAAAATTGTATACAAGCGATAACCAATCAGTCAATACGACAAATGTTCCTTCTAACAACACCACAATATTACCCCTTTCCCCAAAATCTCCCAGCAGTCTAAATACTTTCCCATTTTTAGGTTTCCACCCCGCCCCCAATCCCGCTCAAAGGAGCCTTGAGAAACTTCGCACCCACCCCCTAAAACCTGTTATCACTCCCTCTTCTCTAATTCTTTCTCCCTATATAAAAGGACAGGTATGTCAGTTCTCCATATGCAAGCCTGGAGCCTGAAAGTCTGAAGTCCTGCTTACCTCGGCTGATGTCTCCCACCCCTCCGCCTGCGTTCGCCATTGTCCCTAATTGCTCATCATAGGTTCCCCCACAAGCCCCCCACCCAATCCTGCCATCTTAACTGTTCTTACGATAATGTAAATACCTCTCACCTAACCCTGCCATTGTAACTGAACTCGTGGTCATGTATACTCCTTGCCCCTATCCCCCACCACTGTAACTGAACTTACTCTGCAACACCTCACCCCCCAAAAAACTACCCAAACCTATACAACCCACTCCTATCCCATTGCACTTTGCTAATGCCCTTATCGGCCTTAGCTCACCTGCACCCAGGTGAATAAACAGCCATGTTGCTCACACACACACATGCACACCAAAAAAAAAAAAAAAAAAAAAAAAATGTGTCCTCTTTCAAAGAGGTTAAAATATGACAAAAATGTCTTAGAATCAATACTATTTGGCAACTATATACATAAACATTGGTTTCTGACATTTGAGACCAGAAGAAGCAATGTGGATTATCACTCCAAAATATTTGAAAGGCACTATCCCAGGAAATGTATTATCTTTTCCTTAGATTGGAATTGGATGTAACATTTCAAAATAATATATATATCAGACTGTTCAACTACAATGAGTCAAAGAAACTCTGATAAATTGAAACTAAAGTAATATTTCCAAAATTGACACAAGAATTGCACACACATTATGAAGTCGTCAGTTAAACCAGAAATTAAACCAACATAAAACATTTCAATGACCATGAAATATGACAGCTTATTGAGACTGTATACATCATAATTGAACCAACAGTCTTTGGTCCCCCAAACACCAAGCAACTAGGCAGTCCTGTGAACTCCTCAGTGCCACAGACTCTGAAAAATTATATCAGATTTTCTGTAAGGTAATTATTTATTGTTAGTTACATGTGATCAATACAGTGACATACTTTCAATAATTAAAAATTGAGTATACTGAAATAACCACAGCAGTTTTCAGTATAATTTGTTTAAGTTGTTCTAGAAAACACTGCTAATTTGTTGTTTCTGCAGAGTCAAGTATAGAAGTGAGCAGATTGATAAATTTATAAACATCATGGAAAGAATTGTAGAGAGGAACTGGAGCCACTCGAATGCCATTTGGATTCCGCTTGTCACACTGTGGGGAAAAAATAAAGCCACAATAATGTTGTGTTTTTCACACATTGAAAATCTGCATTCGAGATAAACTTATGTAAAGCACTTTCATAATGATTTCCCTAAAAATTAATATATAAGCAAAATGTTTAAATAAAACACGGTGTTATTTTCTTAGGTATTTCTCTTAATGCTATCATTCCTCTATCCCCTGACCCCCTATCATTCCTCTATCCCCTGACCCCCTGACACGTCCCGGTATGTGATGCTCCTCTCCCTGTGTCCATATGTTCTCATTTCTCAACTCTCACTTATGAATGAGAACATGTGGTATTTGGTTTTCTGTTCTTGTGTCAGTTTGCTGAGAGTGATGGATTCCAGCTACATCCATGTCTCTGCAAAGGACATGAACTCATCCTTTTCTATGGCTTATGAAACTTTTCTCTTGATAATAATTTAAGAAGTAATAATGGATTGATGCATGAATAGCCAAGATAAATTCTGAAATCTATTCAGCAGCTATCTTCAATAGATCATATATACAGTGTTTCTTATTTATTTTTTTCCTGTGCGGACCCCTTGGAGGGACTAAAACCTTTGGATGAATTTAAATGAATGAAAACCCCATTGGGGTCTGGAGAGTTTTAGTATATCATACTTGAACTTAATTCTCTAATCTTTAATCTTGCAGGTAAGAAGTAGGCTACATTCCTGGGAATGCTGATAGGTCCTGAAGTAGCACCAGATAATTTGACATGCCTGGAGATCATTATGATTAACTTTAAAACTTGCTATAGGCTGGACAATATAGTAGATGGTTGATGGCTGCCCCATTTCAATCCAATCACAACTCTTGAAGGTAATTAATTTTACACCCCAAATACAGGTGAAAATTTCAAGCCAGTAGATCCCAATGAACTTTCCCAGGAGGACAGAGCTTGACAATGCCATTGGTTGATTTAGAATCCTGATCTTCTGACTAGTGCCTCCAGCATCTGGGGGAAATGTCTCCTACACGTTTGGAGGTAAACATGAGCCAAGCAGTGCCTTTATTACATTATCATTGGAAGTAGATACATTCTCTTTTTTCCCTGAAATTACTAGTTCACATTTACTTAGTTCTCTTCAAGAGACTGAGAAGGTCATATAGGGTGAAGGCTTGAAAAAAATTATTCCTATTTTACCAGGGCAATTTTTTCTAAAAAAAAAAAAAAAAAAATCATTCCTTGCATTGTTACCACTCCTGAGAAGTGTATATGTATCTTTTTTGACAGAAGCGACAAGGTTGAAAATAACTTAATTTGATCAAGCAACTAAATAAGACCTTTTTTTAACCCTTCAATAAATTGGTCTAATCTTTAATTCCATTCATTCAATAAATGAATTATAGTACAAACTAGTGAAAACAATGTCATATTAATTACCACGAAATGGTAATGCTTTCTTTCCTGCAAACTGTTATGAAAAGAATGAGTAAGTTATGAAGAACTCCTCCTATAACCCAAGTTTGTGGCATCTTCTCTTTTATCAGAAATGACAGATGTCTATGCCTTCAGTTAGCACAGTGCTGCGGGATTAGTTGGCACTTAATTTATCCTTAATTGATGGAGTGATGTGAAATAACCAATGAATAAACCAAAGAATCCAAATTTTATCCCCAACACACAGCCCATAGACAAAATCTGGTAGCAAAGCAAGAGACGTACTTACAACCACACCCCTTTTTTCTAGTTCTTGGAAAACATCTTTGTTTGGAACAGAAAATGTTATTGTTAGCTGGCAGCCCCGTTCCTCTATACGGGATGGAGTAATTATGTTCACAACTGGTTTCTTGATTGTTGCTTTATCGTTGATATACTTTTGCTTTATCAGATATTCCAGATAGCCAGTTAGCAAAATAGATTTCTTTCGCAATGCCTTCATTGTCGCCTGCTTAAAGATCTGTGGAATGAGAAACAATCAGATTAAAGTGTCTTATTGATTTACAAAGAAGCAAAAATTAAGAGTAAATCATGCATAAAAAAGGAAATGCCCATATTTAACCTTTCTGATAAATATCTCCTTTTACACACTCTTTTTTGCAAAATCATGCCCTCTTTTAAATGCTTTGCTATTAAACAATGAAGGTAAATTTTCCATGATGGAAAAATTGTACAAATGTCGCTTAAATAATACTTGCAAAGGAAGAAAATGTAGGTTAATATCAGGTACCTGTGGCAGGCCAGGTCTCACTAACACAGGCCTCCATCACAACTGTTTTAGTACTGACTGAGTGATTAAGTTAACTATTAAAAACCTAAAAAGCCAGTGCCTTTATACGAAGGCTGGGATGTAACGAAAGCCCATCAAGAGTTTTGCCAAGGCCTTTCCTGGGCCTTAAAGCATAACGAAATAATGAAGAAATTCTTAACAGGAGCCATTTAGGATTAAACAAGTTTTATTGTGGATCTGAAGAAGCTCCCCAGGCCTCCACAAACAAGTTTACTGAAGGTCTAAAGGAACTCCTCAAGCCTCAGTGATTTAGCAGGAGACAAAATAAGGGTAATCACTCTAGCACCTGGAGCCATTTAGATTAAGTAAATTTACTGAGGCTCCAGAGAAAGGTCTTCAGGACTCAGACCTTTGTTACAGATTAAAAGAAGTTAATCATTGATGTCTTCAGAAGAATGCACACTTACACATATATATATATAACTTAGAAGGTATATAAGCTCTGGAAATCTGTAATTTTGAGTTGGTCTGGCGATAATTTCCAGGACTTCTCCCTATAACTGGTTACAGAAATAGAAACTCTCTTCCTCCCCAGTTCATCTGCATCTTGTTATTAGGCCACGAGAAATAGCAGCCTAACCCTCAGTTTCGTCTGGGAGCATACCTTCACAATTATTTTAAATTAACTTAGTATAATCCAGTAAAACATAGCTTAATAAATGCATTTAAATAGCATACAATGTAAGCTTTTCTCCAAAACCACTTTTTGAAATCATAAGAAGGCCTTTTCTACTTTGATGTAAAGTTTGTCCCACAAAAATTGCAATATGATCTAAATGTGCAAATGTGGAAAGCTCTGTTACTGGTGATATTTAAAACTGTTTTACTGACTCCTAAATCTCTCCCAGCTTAACAGTAAGAAAACAAGCAATTAAATAATAATGCTACGTTTTCTCAGTGAGGGAAGCAAATAACATTGGATAATGCATTTATTTTTACTGACGCATTTCTCTCATTTTGCCCCTTCTAAACTCTAGCACTGGTGTGAAAATACTGCCATTTGCTGCCTGAGATGTCTTATATTAAGATGAGTGACAAGGGCACACAGTAACTGGTGCTGGAATATTAGGGGTCAGAACAGATGTGCTTTTCTGGCTTATCTCTTAAGGTCAAGTCGAGTGTAAAAATATATCCTATGTATAAGGACGGAATGAACTGCAAACAGTGTGATGCACTGGCCTGCCACTTAATGTTCCTTTTCTGTGTCACGAGCAAAGATATCAAGAGCAAAGCTAGGGTCATTTGGTGATATCAAGACTTCATCAAGTCTATGAAAACAGTTATTCCTGTATGTACACATGGCATGTGTAGGAAGGCACTCTAATAACACTCATTCAGCCACAGAGTTCCTGGAACTATACTGCATGGAGGCTACGGATTGGCTGAAGGAGAGGATGGGAGCTGTACTGAAGGTAAATAATAGCTAAGCAAGAGAGGAGAATCAGAGAACAGAATAGCGCCTGCCTCTCTTCACGCACACGTCCCAGACAATGTCTGAAGCCTACAGTGACAGCTCACATATAGGCTGACATGTTGGTTTCATAAGGCCCCAAGATCTGGAGTGCCGATAACACTGCTCCAAGACTCAGACAACTTAGATGACGCAGAATTTGGTAGGAGGCATCTCTTCATGTTCTTGGGCAAAACAAAATGTAGGTAGACTTGGCATAATGAGGACTCAAGGGAACACGGCCAAGTTTTGGGTCAAGAGCCAGAAATCAAAATTCTCCCAGAGGAACAGCAAGGCACAGGCCACAGCTGGTTTCACTGTGAGGTTTGAATAAAAAACTATGTGAGGAATCTTTCCAAGATTCTCTCTGGAGCTTAATAATATTCTAGGAAATTCTAGGAAATTTTGTGGTTCTGCTATGGGTGCCCTACTGTGTACATAGAGGCAATCAATACATGAGGTATCACATTTAATGATAGTTCATTTGTATGCATAGGTTAGCAAAACTTTGAGGAATATTACTTGCATTTAGTTTTTAAAGGGGCTTGGAGGTGTTGCTCTTACAGCTTTCTCTGTATAACTAGAAATCAAATTTTTTTGATATGACAAATAGCTTCCATCTTAATATACTGGAGAATGTTATCACTCTTTAATAATAAAGTAATTTTAAAATATGAAACATACTTTCCCCATTACAACCACAATAAGGGCAACTGCATTCTGAGGCACTTTTAAATTCATCTCACACAGGGTAAAAGTCTATTCTGAGCCTCACATAAAAATATTGAGAGAAAATAATAGGGAAGTAACATAAATATTCTGTTTGCTTTTTTGTTTCTCATACATTTTATGCGTTCAATATTGAAAAAGAATAATTTTTTAAAATTAGAAATCAAAATTATAGTTTGAAAATATTCAGCTTAAAAGATAATTCTTGGCAGTGTTTCAACTACTTGTATTATTTTTTCTTACTGACTAAATGAGCATGAAGCTAGAGAAGCTAGGTAAGTTTTAACAGGAAAAATAAGTTTAGTGTAATGTTTTCAATAGTCATATTTTTCTCTTAAATTCTTAAAACTGGCTCCCTAGTAACTCTGAAAGAAAACATACAGTACATTTCTTTGTTGAGTCTTCTGACTCAGCACGTATTTTAATTAAATGCTCTAATTTTGTATTTTGAAGCTATTATTTCAGTATGAACTCAGAGTACTCATAGGGGCTGGAACTTGTCTACCTATTGCTACATATAGATATGAACCTTCAAAATATATGTATTGTTTACATTTAACTAATTTAGAATTTGAGGAGACTTCTGAAATAATCTTTTCCAAATATCTTACACTAAAAAATAAGGCAAATACATTCAAAAGGAGTCACTGCTTGTGTGAGGCCATACTTAGTATCCAGTGAAGGAGAGAGCACTTGCCTTCAGCTTCCTGGCCTCAGGCTCCATCCCTTCATCATAATACTTTAAGAAGTCTTGTATAAATGATTCCAATCCAAAAATATAAATAAAAGGACAGTTTGAAATGGATTATAAAATGCTATTTTAATATAAATCAACCATATACGCATAGTTTTATAAAAAATCCATATTAATATATATATTTTTTTTTTTTTTTTTTTGTGGGGGAGGAAGGCAGGAAGGAAGGGAAGAAGGACGGTAGGGAGGAAGGAAGGGATGAAGGAAGGAAGGGAGGAAGCGGGGAGGGAGGGAGGGAGGGAGGGAAGGGAAGAAAGGAAATCAAGCAATGAAAGAGACATTGCCGACCTGGATCTAGAGGTTTACAAGTTGATTTCTTTTTTTTTGAGAGAAGGAAAGAAAAAAAAAAAAATAAGTAAAGGAGAGGAAGAAAGAGGAAGAGAAAGAGGGAGAGTAAATGGAAATATTGCTTTATTTTGAAAAAAATTGGGTATTAATAATGGCCAATCAATGTTTCATTTAAACTAATGGGTAGGTGTGATGTGGTATTGACAAGAATGTATATTTTGTGTATTTGAAGTGGGGAGCTCTATAAATATTTATTAAGTTTACTTGTTCTGGATCTGAGTTCGAGTCCTTGATATCCTTATTAATTTTCTGTCTCATTGAATCTAAGTCTCCTATCTGGGTGTTAGGATCGTTAGCTCTTGTTGTTGCATTGATCCTTTTACCACTATATCTTTGTTGCTTTAAAATCTATTTTATCCGATACAAGAATTGCAACTCCTGCTTTTTATTTATTTATTATTTATTTTTGCTCTCCATTTGGTTGGTAAATCTTTCTCCATCCCTTTGTTTTGAGTCTTTGTGTATCCTTGCATGTGAAACAGGTCTGGATGTAACATGCCGTTGGGTTTTGGCTGTGTCTTTTGATTGGGAATTTAGTCAATTTAAATTTAGGGTTACTGCCATTTGATGTTGACTGGCTGTTTTATCCATGTGTTGGTGTAAATTCTTCTTTATGTTGGTGCTCTTTACTTTTTGGTGTATTTTTAGAAAGGCTAATACTGGTTGTTTCTTTCTGTGTGTAATGCTTCTTTCAGAAGCTCTTGTAAAACAGGCCTGGTGGTAATAAAATCTCTGAGTTCTTGCTTGTTCATAAAAGATTTTATTTTTCCTTCAGTTGTGAAGCTTAGTTTGGCTGGATATGAAATTCTGGGCTGAAGGTTCTGTTCTTTGAGGATGTTGAATATTGGCCCCCACTCTCTTCTGGCCTGTAGAGTTTCTGCCGAGAGATCTGCTGTAAGTCTGATAGGCTTGCCTTTGTGGGTTATCCGACCTTTCTCTCTGGCTGCCCTTAGTATCCTCTCCTTCGTTTCAACCCTGGTGAATCTAACGATTATGTGCCTTGGGGTTGGTCTTCTTGAGGAATATCTTTGTGGTGTTCTCTGTATTACCTGGGGTTGAATGTTGACCTGCTTTGCTAGTTTAGGAAAATTTTCCTGAATAATATCCTGAAGGGTATTTTCCAGCTTGGATTCATTCTCTCCGTTGCATTCAGGTACACCTATCAAACGTAAATTTGGTCTTTTCACATAGTCCCACATTTCTTGGAGACTTTGCTCATTCCTTTTTATCCTTTTTTCTCTAATCTTTTCTTCACGTTTTATTTCATTAATTTGGACTTTGACCTCTGATATCCCTTCTTCTGCTTGAACAATTCGAGTGTTTAAACCTGTGCATACTTCTCGGAGTTCCTGTATTGTATTCTTCAGTTCCATTAATTCACTCATACTCCTCTCTAAGTTGTCTATTCTCAATAGGATTTCATCAAGCCTTTTGTCAAAGTTCCTAGTTTCTTTACGTTGGGCTACAACATGTTCTTTTAACTCACTGAAGTTTGTTATTATCCATTCCTTGAAGAGTGATTCCGTCATTGGGATGTGCTCGTTCTCCATCAAGCCTTGTTCCATTGTTGATGTGGAACTGTGATCATCTTTAGAGGGAGAGGCGTTCTGACTTTGAGTATTCTCAGCTTTTTTACGCTGGTTTCTTCCCGTCATTGTAAATTTATCCTCCTCTTGTCTTTGAAATTACCAACTTTCAGATTAGGTCTCTTGAGTGGACGTCCAGGTTGTTAGTTCCCAGGGCCAGAGCAGCGGCGTTAAAACTGATGGTGCTTTTCTGCCCAGGATTCTCCTGTCGGGCTTCCTTCTTGTGTCGGTAGTAGGCGACTCTGCCTTCCCGGGGCTCCAAACCTCGGTCAGAAGGGGAAGCGGTCCCGTTTACTCTGCTCCGAGAGCTGCCGCGCCGAGGTGCCGGCGGAACCGCTGTGCCGACCACGAGAGTCGCGCTGGCGACCCGTGTGTTTCCACCACTGGGGGATCTTCTGCTCCGTGAGCGACCAGACTTTGTCTGAAAGTGTGGCGTCCTCTAGTTCTCCGCGCCTTCCCTGAGAGCTGCAATCCCGGGATGTTAGCGATCGGCCATCTTGGATCGTTCTCCCCCCATATTAATATATTTTTAAAAGTCATCTCCTGCTGGCAGGAGAATCACTTGAGGCCAGCAGTTCCAGCCCAGCATGGACACAATAGCCAGACCTCATCTCTAAAACGATTAAAAACTAAGCTGAGTGCAGTGGCATGCCCTGTTGTCCTAGCTACTAAGGAGGCCGAGGTGGAGAGGATTGCTTCAGACCAGTAGTTCGAGATTGGCCTGGGGAACATGATGAAATACCGTTTCTATAAAAAATACAAAAATTAACCGGGTGTGTTGGTGCACTCTTGTAGTCCCAGCTACAGTGGAGGCTGAGGTGGGAAGATCAACTGAGCCCAGGAGGTAGAGGTTGCAGTGAGCTGAGATCCTGTCACTGTACTCTACGGGTGACAGAGGGGGACCCTGTCTCAAAAATAAAGAAATAAAATAAAGAAATAATAATAATTAGCCACGTGTTGTGGTGCAGACCTGTAGTCCCAGCTACTCAGGAGGCAGAGGCAGGAGGATCACTTGAACCCCAGGACTTTGAGGCCATGGTAAGCTATGATCATACCACTGCACTCCAGCCTGAATGACAGAGCGAGACCCCATCTCTAAATATTCATAAATAAAATTTAAAGGAAGATTAAGTAAGTATTAATGGAAACATTGTTAATTCACGGATGCTTACTCACATCAGAAGCCCGTAAATGTCTAGAAAATAGGATGTTTTAACAGAGAATGGGAAGCAATTCGATGCATTAGTTTGTAATTTTAAAATTTTGCAATTTACAGTAGGAAATAATTTTGAAAAACACTTTTACCAAAATAAAGCATGCCTAACTAAAGAATTTTGGTCGGAACATAGTCTTGGCAGTGAAATGAGCAGTAAGAGGCTCGAGAGAAATTCTAAGTGAATTAGAAGCTCCAGAGACGAGCATATCCTTCTTCTTGTGGCTTTTAGGGTTTTAAGTTTAGATCTTAACTGGGTAACATAGAGAGACTTTGTCTTTACAAAAACTACAAAAATTAGCCCGGCGTGGTAGCCCACATCTACAGTCCCAGCTACTCAGGAGGTTGAGGTTAAGGTTAGATATTAAAAAGAAAAACAAAATCAGTCCTCAGATTATAATCAAAAATAAAAACTTTGTCTAGGTGACTGTTAATACAATGTGGTAGGAAAACAGTGGTAGGAAAACAGTGGTAGGAAAAATAAGAATGTGCCTTTTTCCCCATAGCAGAAGGGTGACTACTACTAGGAAAGCCAACCCACTGCAGAAAGTACGCCAAAGTGAGGAGGTCTAAAAGGAAATTTCCAGGTACGTCTGAGAAGTTATTCGCAAAGACATGGTCCTTCAAAAGAAATTACTTTAGGTACAAGCTCTTCCTAAGGTATGTCATGGTGCTTCTGATGTTATCACACTTCTTTTACCAGATACAAACTTGGAACGAATGCAGACACTTAATTTTGTTTTAAAATGTTTAAACAAAATATTTCTCTGAATGGATATTATCAAAACAACTCAAATATCATTATCTGATTTACTAAGCAGATTTTTACTCAAAAAAGCTTTCAAAGATATATAGCACTGGCTGAAAAATCTCGTTACTGTGTCTATTTTCCAGGAAAAAAATGCTGCCATGAAGTGAAAACAGCACAAGCTCCATCTAGTGGTTAAACTGAGTGGGTGCGCTTTAAATTGGGATGGAATGAAATGAGGTAATTATCACTATCCAGTGGTGAATTTAATAAAAACAGAGGAGCTTTATGCTGCCATCCAGTGGCCAGAATGAGAAACTGCTGTACGTGTTCACGGAATTATGCCATTTTAGATTAGAAGGAATTTTGAATCTTCATCCTGTCACTCATTTGATGCTGGAATCCTCTATAAGTTTTTGCTAAAATATAATAAACTACATGATATTAGAAGGAAATGTGAAAAATTTCAAATCCTTGTTCGAATAGTTCTTTATAAAACCTCTATTCGAAATATATACACACATTTACTTAAAATGTATTTTGCTTAAATATATGTATACAGGCCAGGTGCAGAAGCTCACGCTTGTAATTCCAGCACTTTGGGAGGCCAAGGCAGGCGGACCATCTGAGGTCAGGAGTTCGAGACCAGCCTGACCAACATGGAGAAACCCCGTCTCTACTAAAAATACAAAATTAGCCGGATGTGGTGGCACATGCCTGTAATCCCAGCTACCCCAGAGGCTGAGATAGGAGATTCACTTGAACTCAGGAGATGGAGGTTGCAGTCAGCCAAGATCACGCCATTGCACTCCAGACTGAGCAACAGAGTGAAATTCTGTCTCAAATAAAATAAATAAATAAATAAATAGATGTATACAAAATATATATTTACTCAATATATATTTACATTATTATGAATTATATACTATATAATTACCAATATATTTTTACTTGACTGCATTTAGTCTAATCATAAATTCAACAACAATTTCATTTTCTTATTATGTATATCTGTCATTTCAGGGTAAGACTAAATTTACCTAAATAAAAATATAAATTAATTTAAAGGAAAATGTTGAGTCAGTGATAGTGAAGACTATAAACTGACATAATGTCATAGAAGTCCCAATTAAAAACTAAAACAAAAATCATAAAACCATCCTACCTCATGAGACAACCTTATTTAATCTTTCGTTTACTCTGATTATTCATTATTTTTCCCTTAAGTAAGTCTTTCCTAGCTTTGTCACATGGCACTTGGTCAGCTCATTCATCTACAATGAGCTAGAAGCAGCACAGACCCCAGTAATTACATTAGGCATGCAATATTTTCTCAATAAATTTATGTTGAATAAGTGAATTTATAAAGAACTAACTATTTCATGCTTATTTAGTATACAGAGAGACTAAGAGAAGGTTAAATAACTTATTCATGTTTAAACAGATTCTACGTAAAGTAAAAAAATGTATTTCCCCCAAAGAGTTCCATTTAATATTTACTATGTGCCAATAAAGTGCCAAGCATTGTGCTGGGAGCTGGTGACATGAATGAAGGGAGACACCCACCACAACATCACTGTCCTAAAAGAGAATGCTGCCTTCTTTTCCCTTGTTCATGCACAGTGCACATGTATCATCTTGCTGTGTAGCAGAGAAAGAACTACAAACTGTCACAGTCAGATCAGGAAAAAAGGCAAAGATGTGGGAAGGTTGAAACATATATCACTTACCTCTAAACTAGCATGTAAGGAAGAGACCAACAACATGGGAGGATTTGAAATTCGGAATCCACAGACCCCAGGGATTAACTGCAGTTCTGAGAAAGCAATATCACGTCATTGCCAAAGAGGGTAACTTCAAAAGTGTCCATAAAGTTACTAATGTACTGGAGAGTGAAAGAGCAAGACTTAAAGTTTTATTCCTGAGTGGGATTTCCGAGATAGTTAAGATAAACTCCATGGAGCTAAAATATCATTATTTCCCCTTCACCAGCAATTCCCACCTCCCTTGTCCTCACCTTCTTAGTAGAACACCAGAAATCTTAGACCCAAGGTAAAAATGACCTCTTCTGGAAGTTTCTCTGGACCCCATTCTCTGCCTTCCTATTCCCAACCCAGGATTCCTTGTTCTGCTCAACCTTTGCTTTCCTGTTATGAAACCATGTCAATGAGAGAGAGCATCAGTTTGGAGTGACATGTAATTGTAATGTTGCCCGCAGGCAGAAATATGAATGAAATGACCTATGAAGGTGACTTTTAGCTCTAGGATTGTTAGGTCAAGTGGTTTCTCTTAGAAACACACACACACACACACACACACACACACACACACACACACACACCAGAGGGGGCTTTAAAAAAAAGATCTGCCTAAGTATAATATATGAAAAAGGTAAATTAATAGCAGGTACTCTCCTAATTAAGTCGATTGAACAGTAGCAAGTTAAATTCAATAGGGTTAAGATGGCTAGTCAGAGATAACACTATGACTGACTAAAAGAATGTTAAAACATATGACTCTTTATATAGTCATCCAATCCAAGATTAAGCAAATTGTGGTGATATGGTTTGGCTCTGTGTCCCCACCCAAATCTCATCTTGAATTGTAATCCCCATATGTCAAGGAAGGGAACTGATGTGAGGTTGATTGGATCATGGTGGTGGTTTCCCCCATGCTGTTCTCATGATAATGAAGGTGTTCTCACAAGATCTGATAGTTTAAAAAATAGCAGTTTTCCCTAAGCCCTCTCTCTCTCTCTCTCTCTCTCTCTCTCTCTCTCTCTCTCTCTCTCTCTCTTTCTCTCTCTCTCTCTCTCTCTCTCACCTGCCACAACCTCAGATGTGCCTTACTTTCCCTTTGCCTTCTGCCATGATTGTAGGTTTCCTGAGGCTTCCTTGGCCATGTGGAACTGTGTGTCAGTTAAAACTCTTTCCTTTATAAATTACCCAATCTGAGGTGGTATCTTTATAGCAGTGTGAAAGCAGACTAATACATATGGCCATATGGCCTGTGGGCCAAATTTGACCCACTAGTTTGTTTTTGTTTTTGAGACAGAGTATCACTCTGTCACCCAGGCCAAAGTGCAGTGACTCACTCGTGGCTCACTGCAGCCTTGACCTTCCCTGGGCTTAGGTGATCTTCCTACTGCAGGCTCTCAAGTAGCTGGGACTACAGGTGCATGCCAGCACTCCTGTCTAATATTTCTAGTTTTTGTAGTGAGGAGCTCTCACTATGTCACCCAGGCTAGCCCCCAACTCCTATGATCAATTGATCCATCTGCCTTGCCTCCCGAAGTGCTGGGATTACAGGTGTGAGTCATCATGCCCAGCCCTGTTTTTTTAAAACACTGTTTTCTGAAAACACAGCCACAATCTTTCATGTATGTATAATCTATGGCTGCTTTTACGACCACAATGATGGAGTTGAATATTTGCCACAGAGACTGTGTAGCACAGAAAGCATAAAATATTTCCCATCTGGTCCTTCATAGAAAAAGTTTGCTACTCCTGATCAAATTCAATTCCTCTATTTCCAAATAAGAAAACCCATCTCTAATAATTTAAATAGCCAGCACAATAACATCTAATTATTTTAACAGCCAAGGTAAAACACAGATATCCTGATTTGACTGGAATATCAAATCTTGCAATTTGGTTGCTGCAAATCTGAATACCAATGGGTCCTGACTTAATAATTTGACTAAAATTGTCCAATTTTACAGTGATACATAACTGGTACATCTTCAGTAGAAGCCATACTTTGAGTAACCATATGCCCATTCTGTTTTTCACTTTTAGTATAGTATTCAATATGTCATATAAAATATTCAATGCTTTATTATAAAATAGGATTTGTGTTAGATTGTTTTGCCCAACTCTAGGCTAATGTAAGTGTTTTGAGTGTGTTTTAAGGTAGGCTAGGCTAAGCTATTATGTTCCATAGATTAGGTGTATTAAATGCATTGTTTACTTAAGATAGTTGTAGCTTGTGAGAGGCTCATCAGGAAATAATCCCATTGTAAGTCAAACAGCATATGTATAGACAAAATATTATCTTAGGGCTGGGTGTGGTGGCTCAGGTCTGTGATCCCAGCACTGTGGGAGGCCAAGGAGGTTAGATCACGAGGTCAGGAGTTCAAGACCAGCCTGGCCAAGATGGTGAAACCCCGTCTCTACTAAAAATATAAAAATTGGTTGTGGTGGTGGGTGCCTATAATCCTAGCTACTGGGAAGGCTGAGGCAGAGAATTGCTTGAACACAAGAGGTGGAGTTTGCAGTGAGCAAATATCATGCCACTATACTCCAGCCTGGGCAACAGAGCAAGACTCCATCTCAGGCCAGCTTGTGCAACATAGTGAGACCTCATTTCTACTAGATATAATAATAATAACAATAAGGCAGTCATGGTGGTGCACACCTATAGTCCTAGCTACTTAGGAGGAAAAGGGGGGGAAATTGCTTGAGCCAGGGATATCAAGGCTGAACCGAACATGATTGCACCACTGTACGCCAGCCTAGATGACAGAGCAAGACCCTGTTTCAAAAAATAAAAACATAAAATCAATAAAAAATGAAAACAAAATTAAAACAATATCTCAGGATTTAAAGCAATCTGAAGGATCAAATTTATGTTGAACTCTCAAAGCATTTATGATCTTCTGTATCCCATATGGTTGGGAAATAGGGTCACTCAGGAAAAAGCAACTCTGCATGGTAGAGTTTCATTTCTGTCTGCTGGGGTTAACTGCTCACAGGAATTGCTACACTCTTTGGTACATGGCTAAAGCCACAAAAGGAAAATATTTAGGAAAAAAGAAGAATGAACATGAATATTTATTAAGGCACTGCTGTGTCCTGCTTGGCTTATTGCTTTGAACTTGACGAACCCTAAAACCAAATTTTTAAATAGATTTTATTATTCACATTAGGTAAATGGGAAAGAAAAAAACAAACACAAGATGACATAACTTGTGCAGGATCAAAAAACTATTAAGCAGCAAAGAGTGATTAACCCCGAAGTCTTTCTAAATCTGACTCCAAGCTGCAAATTTCCTCCTGTCCTCTGTGCCCAACATTTCGGGCACTCCGTGTTGACGGCATCTGACCAAGCCACATGACCCTTAACTTGGACTTCTTTTTCTTTTACCTCTCTACTAAGGGATAAACTCAAGATCATGCTAAAATCTATAAATGTTTAGTCTTACACGCTGGATATGTCATTTCTTAGTTGAGAATTCTCAGTGACATTTTCGAAGTGCATTCTCCCTGGGGCATACACATTACACATAACATAAACACAGATGAAAATTGAAATAAAGTTAAAATAAAATGACTTATTAGGCAAAATAAATATACTTACTGTTATCCATTTTAAATCTGGTGCTGAGTTCATGGCCAAACCATCCCACTAATCTAAAATATAAATAAAAACATTAGATTTTTTTTTTTTGAAAGGAGTCTCACTCTGTTGCCTAGGCTAGAGTGCAGTGGCATGATCTCAGCTCACTGCAATCTCTGCCTCTTGGATTCAAGCGATTCGTGTGCCTTAGCCTCTCAAGTAGCTGAGACTACAGGCATGAATCACCATGCCTGGCTACTTTTTGTCTTTTTAGTACTGACAGGGTTTCGCCATGTTCGCCAGGCTGGTCTGACACTCCTGAGCACAAGTGATTCATCAGCCTTGGCCTCCCAAAGTGCTGGGATTGCAGGTATGAGCCACTGTGCCTGGACATAATATTTTGATCTATAAAAATAAATACTACTAATTTAGAAATCTGGGGCCTGCATTATAAAGCTATTTGTGATATAAGTCATCAAATACCTCAGCAGAAATGATGGTATCATAAGGTAATTAATATTTATAATGTTAAGAATGAGGATAAAATCTACCTATCTATATGATTAGTTATTTTATTTTTGTGCGGAATATCAACTTAAGAGTTATAGTTAATGATCATTTTTTATTTAAAATAAAATGAACAAAAATATTAAGTAACTTTCTATTTTAAAATTAAGCTAAAAGCTCAAAAGGTAAAACCATATGATATTTTCATAATAGAATCTCCAAAGACAAATGTACCCCAAAAACCCATACAGTTGTTGAAAAATTTAAAAATAATTTTCTAAAGAAACTGGTTGCTTTCAAGTTGTTTTTAAGTATGTAAAATTAGTCAGACATAAAATACAAAATATACAGGAAAAATCATATACATGTGTGTATATATTAGATGAAAAAGACTACAAACTAATTTAGACAAAAATATTAAAAATTTAGGAAGGGAGTGAATTTGAAAGGGAGAGTTCTGGTAGGAAATAACTGGAAATCAATGACCATTATCTTTTTTAAAATAATTTTTTAAAATTTTAGAATAGTTTTAAATTTACTGAATTATTGTAAATATTTATTTACAGTAAATAAATTATCCCTAAATAATATTTTAGTTTTAGTGATGTCTAAATAAAAATTCCAAAGCACTATTTTTGGGACATGACAAAATGTTTTAAAATTTATATAGAATATATGGGTGAACATAACAAATTTTGAAATAGAAAATATAGAGAGGAATGTGCTATATTATCTTACAATAGTGTCTTCTTATATGCTTTGTATGATATAGCATATTATAAAATGCAGTACATGAATAAGAATAATTCTAGTAAAACTAATCAGTGAGACAAATGAGATATGATAGTAAATACAGAAACAGTCCTCAGATCATGTCACAATTATCACCTCTTAATGACATTTCCAAAATGCAAAAGTGAAAAAATATATTTATATACTCATGATTTTCAAAAGAGAAAATTCTCAGTATAAAACAGAAGAAGATTCAAAAGAATATACGAATAGATTTATAAACATTTAAATTAAATTCTGTATTAAAAAGATGGACAAAATTGGAAGACAAACTAGAGATGGAGAAGAGGAGTGATATTTGTCCCATACCAAAGAGTCTTTTCACTAAGAGGTTTTACATAGAAAAAGGACAATGTACCAACAGCGACCCAGCCACCGAGCATGGACAGGGTTTATAAAAGAAAACGTCCATGCCCCATGAATTCAGGAAAAGCAAACAAACAAAAACACCTCACTGTCACTAATGTTTCACACTATAATGTAAAGATGACACCATATTTTATGTACCAAACATGCAAAATGATTTAAAAATTATTGTAAATATTCTTATTAAAGATTCAAAGAAAAGAAAATCAGCCACTTGTTGAATAATGATAAATAAATAATAAAAATCTTTCTGGAGGACAATTTAAGAAGATATATGCAAAATATGCTTTGTTTTCTGTCCCAGAAATTTTACTCCTTCCAATTTATCTAAATTGGGTTACACTATTTGGATTACACTATTTGAAGTATGCCAAGATTTGTATACTAGTGATAGGGAAAGTGGGCAGAGAAAATCCAGGTAGAAAAGACTGGGTCCCCAGGAATCCCCACCCTCAAGTCAAAAAGCCTGAAACCACAGTCCAAAGTGAGAACTTCTATCCCTGTTTTCTCACTCAAATGTTGCCTTTTTCTAAACCACCCCATCCTGTGCCTATATAAATCCCAGACTCAGCCAGTAGACAGGATACAGCTGGACATCGGAGAAAAGTGGCTTGACTTCCAAGGGACAGCTTGGCAGCGTAACTTTAGAGAAGAATCTGGCTAGAGACAGCCAGACTTCAGGGAAAGATTACCTGCCCATCCCAACGCCTTCTCAGCTCCCCTTCCCGCTGAGAGCCACTTTCACCAAAACCAAAATTCCCCACATTCATCCTTCAATTTGTTCGCGTGACCTCATTTTTCCTGGACACCAGACAAGAGCTTGGGAGCCATGAATGCAGGCATGAAAGGCTGTCACACTGGCCCTTTGCCCTCACTGATGGAAGGCAGCCGCCTCCTGTGAAAAGGCAGAGGCCCCACTGAGCTATTAACACAAGCCTACTGAGGACGACAGAGCTAAAAGGGCACTGAAACATGCCCTCTGGGGCTTTGAGAGTTGCAGGCACCTCCGCCTGGACTCTGCTGTGGGGCCTCCACGGTCTTCACTCCTGCAGGTTCTAAAGCGTCGGGCCAGTTCCTACACCGGCTCACCTACGCGTTCCCTCCCACGAGGGGTGGAATGCTGTAGGTCTGAGTGAGTGGAGTTTGATCCTACCAGCGCCAAAGTGGCCAGCCAATTCCAGCACTCATTCATTTCAGCTCCCGTCCTGTGCTCATTCGCTCTTGCACTCCCTCCCGCAAGGAGTTGAGAGCAGCGGGCTGAGTAAACGAGTCACCCCTATCACGAGTTCCGCAAGGGGTCAGGAGAATCATGCTTCATTAGGACAGTTAACACAATACAATTATCAGTGTCAAGACTACCTAAATATCTTGTAATGGAGAACTGATAAAACAAATTACACCATGGCATATGAATGAGTACTCTGCAGCCATTATAAAAACCCCATTTAAAATAATATATACACAAAAAGATTAAAATGACGATCATAATATTTTGAGTGTGATTCTAGTTTTAAAACAATAAAATGTATGCATTTATATTTAACTATGGCCAAAATGTTAAATATTTTAATTTATGCTTTATTCCCATGTTTTTCAGATTTTTCTTAAAGAGCACATGTTGTTCCGTCAAAGAAAGATTCTAATTATCATTTTAACTCCTCTTTGTTAGTCCACGTTTATTTTAATTTCAAAAATATCTTATTTCATGCATTTTGCATATAGTTTTATAGAATTAATTAGCAGAGTCTGATTAATTGTGCAAAATGATTAATTTTTTTAAAATCCATCACTTAAAAATATACAGTTCTCATTAACTTATTTAAATTCAGAAAGTACCAGCCTAGGCAGACCTTTCAAACCTTATTTTTAATATTTATTCTCTCATTTCAAGTAATTTATTATGAGAACCTAATAATCCTCTCTTTTTTCCCCCACCAGTTCTTCAGCCTATAATGATGATATTGAGTGGAATCTGCATAGGAGGAACTGAAAAAAATCAGAACAAAATGGTAAAATCTCAAGTGATGGAATATCTACTGCAATTCCAGTTAAAAAAAAATAATAAAAATAACAATTCTCTAAAGAAAAGACAAGGTGCCCAATTTGAATTTCAAAAGCTACACCCTTGATACAATTATGGGTATAGATACAAGAGAGCAGGGCCATTTTTAGAGCAGCAGTTACATTATGTACCCTGCAGAAAAAGGAAGCACATCCATATGAAGAATCAACAGGAGCCCTAAAAGATGGAAATAGTGAGCAAATGAAAGGCTACGGTATCCTTTCTCCCTTATCCCTGCTTAGGTAACTCACTCAAATTGCTAATCAGGGAAAATTCAACACAATCACCGAACAATGAAAAAAGAACTGAATATAGCACTAACACAAAGATTTTCCATGAAAAATGGGAGAAATCTAAAAACAGACGAAAAATATGCATCAGGAAAAGATTGCCTGAAAGTGGATGAGAAATGTAATGAAAATGAATAACTCAAGAAAAAACAGAAGGTTAATGAAATAATAGTACATGTGTTTGGAAAAAGCCAAGTAAAAATGTAGCAGTAGAATGAATATATCTGGGAAGGATTAGAAAAGAAAAATAAGGCACATAAAAGAAAGGAAAAAAGAATTGAAAAACTGCAAGAAAGGCCAGGATACTGTGGAAAAACTAGCAAGGACAAAAAAGAGTTGTGAGAAAAAATAAAAAGATATATTTAAAATCATTTAGAGAGAAAATGACACATTTAGTAAACAGATAAATAAGTTTTATCATAATCAAAATGAGTTTCCAAAGAAGAAAAGCATAAAATAAATTTCCTTAAAGTTATGATTCAAGACAACTTCGATGAAATAAAAATGATCTGAATCTACATTGAAAAAATGTAACACATGGACACAGGGAGGGGAGCATCACACACTGTGGTCAGTTGTGGGGGGGAATTAAGGGAGGGACAGCGGGGGCTGGGGAGTTGGGGAGGGATAACATGGGAGAAATGCCAAATATAGGTGATGGGGAGGAAGGCAGTAAACCACATTGCCATGTATGTACCTATGCAACAATCTTGCATGTTCTTCACATGTACCCCAAAACCTAAAACATTACACACACACACACACACACACACACACACACACACACCATCCTCTGAGTTGGGTGGGAGGAATTAACTCAGAATGGTCAATTTTAGTTACTGTCTATTAAAATTATTGGATTTTAAGGACAGAGAAAAATTGGAGTTCCACTCAAAAAAGGTTAAGTCAGAATAAAGAAACATCAGACTGGCTTCAAATTTATCAAATGCAACCATTCAATGGCAGAGACTAATGTAGAAATATATGTTCAATACTGAGAGAAAAAAGAACATGATACATGAATGCTATGTTTGACTAAGTGGAATTGTATAAGTTT